GGCAGCCCGGCCGCGCGGGGGCTGGCGGGCCGTTCATCTCGAGACAGCCTGTGTCGTCAATGAGGCCGGGCTGGGATACGTGAGGACACATGCCAATGAGGGCAAGGACATGGCAGACCCCCGGAGAAAGGTGGTTTCAAGGCAGAGGGGGAGAGTTTTGTGCACGGGCCTGGAGTGATTGGATTTCTCTCTCTCTCCCCCCTCTTGCCCTTCAGCGTTGATTTCGAAAAGCCCGAGTCACCCTCAGAAAGGTACGTAAGAAAAACAAAGAGCCTGTCCGCTGGCTGCAGGAGGCCTTTGACCTGGCAAACATGGAAGAAATGACAAGAAGCAAAAGCCAAGGAGAAGGAGGCTTTCCTGGGGGCGATGGAACAAGAGCTAACTCCCCAGAGCGTCTCTTCTGGGATGAGGTGAATTGAATCGGGTCTCAGTGTCATTCTGGGGGTACCTTCCCCCGCCCAGAGTGTGGCTGTCATACTCCTCCATCCAATGGCCTACTCGGAAGGGCTTTGTGACACACTGGCCCGCACTGTACGAACAGCAGAGGAAAACAAAGCTTCTGTCTAGTTTTGAATCGGCCCTGGGATGGGACTGTCTATGGGGACCATTCTCCATTGATGGGCCAAATCCTCTGCTGGTGTCCACTAGTGCAGATTCACTGATGTCAATGGGGCTGGGCCAATTTACAGCAGCCAACAGTTTGGGAGAAGTCCACTGCTGAGTGAAGGAGCCACCGGAGCAGTGCAGTTTCTTCTATTTTCTGGCCCATCAAGTATCTTTCTCCCTGGTTTCTCAGCTGCCAGGGCAGGTTAGGACAAGAATTAGTTCTTCAGTTGCCACGCACAATAACAAAGACTGACACTTCTCTCATTTCTCTCCTCCAGAGAGCGCGGAAACACTGGCATACAAGGCTCATTTTGCCTGGCGTGGAAATACAGCCACCTGGCGTGGAAGGATACATACAGCGATGCCAGGGAGTGTGAAATGAAATCACCCTCAGCAAGAACATGGGGGAATTTGGCCAACACAATGAGCCCCTCCCAAACTCTGCTCTCTCCCCACTTGTGATGCCAAAAGAAGACACTGCTCACTGTAGATTGTGCAGACCTTTCTGGCATGACCTCACTCCTCCTGTCCGGTTTGCTTGGACAGAGTAACAACGTTGGCATTAAACGTGTCATCAGTAGGCTCCAGTGTTAACTCATGATTGAGAGGAATGGGAACAGTCTGCCTGGAGGCTCAGGCGGGTGCCACCACATCTGTTACTCTCAGCTCATCTTATGAAGCACTGACTCAGGAGCCTCTGCCAGCCAGAAAGCGTCAGGGTGACCTTTTTAAAAAGCTAACACTTCCCAACACGGGGTGGGACTCTGGGGAGAGCACCATGCTGCTACAACCCAGTCTAGCTTGACCTTGATGCCTGTTACACGTGATGGAGTCTAGGTTACTGTTAAAGAGGCTCACTTACCTCACCATTCGCATATCGCTTCTGGCGTTGGCCTTTCGCCATCTGAAGCACTGAAGAAAGCTGATCTCAAAAGACAAGGCAGACAAAGGTGGGAGAGGAAAGTGACTTGCCCATGAGCAAACAGTAGGTCATTGGCGGAGCGGGGGCTAGCACCCACCTCTCCAGCTCCTGGTGGCAGCAGCTGTCTGTCACTCTGAGTCTGTACAGCACCTGGCACAGTGGGGCTCACAGCTTGGTTGACACTCCTGCACCACAAATAATCACCAGATGCAGCTAGCAGCTGCTGTTTCCTTTGCGGGCTGTGAGGCAACATTGGTTTCCTTCCACACACAAGCGCACGGAGGCTACGTATAGACTGGCAGGATTTTCCGGAAATGCTTTTATTGGAAAAGTTTTCTGTTAAAAGCATTTGCGGAAAAGAGCATCTAGATTGGGATCTAGATTGACACTTTTTGCGGAAAAGCGTCCATGGCCAATCTAGACGCGCTTTTGTGCAAAAAAGCCCCGATCGACGTTTTCGCGATCGGGGCTTTTTTGCGCAAAACAAATCTCAGCTGTCTGCACTGGCCCTCTTGTGCAAAAGGGACTTTTGCCCGAACGGGAGCAGAATAGTATTTCTGCAAGAAGCACTGATTTCTTACAGTAGGAAGTCAGTGCTTTTGCGGAAATTCAAGCGGCCAGTGTAGGCAGCTGGCAAGTTTTTCCGGAAAAGTGGCTGATTTGACTGTCTTGACACAGCCTAAGGCTATTCTACACTATGGGTTTTTTGCGGAAGAGGCTATGCAGTGAGTGGTGGGGGACCCCCCTCCTGGCGGCCAGGCCTCGGCGCTGCCCCCACTGAGTCGGAAGGGGTAGCGGCATCGTGGCAAGGACGTTGCTTGGGTGGGGGGGGGGCCTTCCTCCTGCCAGCTGTGGAGCTAACGGGCAAACAAATGGCCGCCCTGAATCCCCAGTGAGCTTTCCTGCTGCGCACACACTCCCCAGGCAGGCCTGCTGCTTGCTGAGGCCACCGCCCTGGGCTTCCCTCCTGCCCTCCCCACCAAGAGCCCTTGGCTCCTGGCTCCTTGAAGTCAGGGGTGAAGCGATTAAGTGACTTCCCCAAGTCGCACACGACATCTGTGGCAAAGCCAGATGGCCCCTGTGCTCCATCTCCTCAGGGGTGTCCTTTCCAGCACAAGCAGACAGGCCTGTGCTAGCTCCGATGCCACTAGCTTGCTAAAAGCAGCAGTGCTGGGACAGGGGGCGGTGGGCGCCAGCCCCTCTGAAACCCGAGGTACATAGTTGGGCACTAGCCCAGCCACGGCCCATGCAGCTACACTGGCGTTTGTCACACGCTAGCGCCGAGCTGGCATGGGCACCTCTACAGCCCCGCTCCGACGCACAGCAGGGCCCTGCGGCCCTGTGGGGCGAGGTGTTCTACCGAGTCCTAGCAACAATGGGCAAGAAATGCCAATTATTTGTCAAGAAAAAATTAGGGAAAATGTTTTTTTAAACCTTCCTCCCCCCATTCATTTCATGATACAGGGTTTTTTTGGGGGGAGGAGGGGTCCAAAAGGCATTTTGGTTTAAAAAAATTGATTTTCAAAACCCAATCACTGATTGTTTTGAACTGAAAATCAAACAAAAAGTGGAACATTTTCACTGTCGAGTTTTCAGATTCTGAGTTAGAGTCAGAGTGTGTGTGTGTGTGTGTGTGTGTGTGTGTGTGTGTGTGTGTGAGTTAGTCAGTGTGTGTGTGTGTGTGTGTGCGCGAGTGTGTGTGTGTGTGTGTGTGAGTGTGTGTGTGTGTGTGTGTGAGTTAGAGTCAGTGTGTGTGTGTGTGAGTGTGTGTGTGTGTGTGTTAGAGTGTGTGTGTGTGTGTGTGTGTGTGAGTGTGTGTGTGTGTGTGTGAGTTAGAGTCAGTGTGTGTGTGTGTGTGTGCGAGTGTGTGTGTGTGTGTGAGTGTGTGTGTGTGTGTGTG